TTTGTCCTGAGAGTTGACCTCAGCTCCGTGCTGCAGCAGGTACTCAGCCACCTCCAGGTTATTGTAGCCCGCTGTAACACACACACACACACACACACACACACACAGTAGATCAGATTATTCTCTGTGTGTCAGGAGGGTGGAGGTCAGGTGTGTGTTTAGTATGAAGGTGTGGCTGTGCAGGTGTGTGTGTTCTGGTACCAGCCAGGTGCAGTGGTGTGGAGTGTCTCCCCTGTGTGTCTCTACAGTTCACGTTGTCGTGTGTGCAGAGTTTTTTCACTCGAGCCAGGCAGCCCTTCTTGGCGGCGTCCAGCAGGGCGGCGTCGCCCCGCAGCAGGTCCTGGATGTCCGTGTCGGCGTCCTTCACCAGGTCCAGGGGGGTGTTACCGTCCCGGTTCTTCCGGGTCGGGTCGGCGCCGTGCTGGAGACAGGAAGAGACATTACTGACAGCGCTCAGCTGATGTGAGTGTGTGTGTGTATGTGTGTGTGTACCTGCAGCAGGAGTTTACAGATGTCGTATTTGCCCTTGGCGGCGGCTTCGTGCAGCGGAGTGAACTTCCAGAGGTCGGCCACGTTGACCACGGCTCCGTGAAGAACCAGCAGCTCCGCCACCTCATAGTGACCGTACGAGCAGGCGTTATGGAGCGGGACCAGACCTCTGACACACACACACACACACACACACACACACACACACACACACACACACACACACGTTCATATGATGGCAAGAACACAGTAATTATCTTTAGCCGTCATTTTCAGGAAGAATCTGCAGAGTGAAATCAATAATTAAACAAAAATATTAAAGATCCATAAATAAGAAATTTGCAGTGTAGAAATTCTGTTCATGCTGTTTTGTTTGTGTCTAAACTCTAAATATGTAAATTTATGCTCCATAAAAAGCCTCAGAATTCCCACAATGCAACAGAAAAGAAAAACTTTCTGCTGATAATCAAACAAAACAAGGAGCCTCTCACTACTGTGTCTGTTACATGGGGAACAATGACTGAGTGAATGAGTTTTTTCTGTTTATCTATAAATGATCACATTCAATTCGTATTTAATATTAATGTTTATTATTCTAATTGATCCTTATTTGTCACATTTTTTTTCAGTTCAGTTCGAGTGAATCAAACTTCACACTTCCTGTTCTGGGGGTAATTATATAAATAAAATATCTTTTTTTACATCCCTAATTTCATGTTTATCATCGTCTGTTGCTAATGTCATTTTATCTTTGATTCTATTTTCTTTGACTCCATTTTAATTATTATCATTTTAATATTCGTTTAGATACAAATGCTTTAAATCTATTGATTTTGTTTGCACTTTTACTCTAATATTAGATTTACATGTCATTTCTGTTATTATAATCACACTAATTCACTCCATCTGTGAAGCAGCTTCATCCACAAAATAAAAACAAAGAAAACAAAGAGAGTTCATTTAAAAAAGAAAAGGAAACAATCTTGGGTCTTGGTTATAAAACACTTCATTGTACTGAAACTGAAGTTGATCATCACGTTCAACATGTTCAAGGATGAAAATCTACTTCCAGATTTCACAGAATGTCTTTGAACATAACTCCATTATTGTATTTTTGATCTATTCTTGGATTTTGGCTGTTTTTGATTCATTTTGGTCAATACCAAGGAAATATTGATTTGATTTGATCTCCAGCTCAGATCACAGTGATAAAGTCAAAACGAAACTCTCTATCTCCATCACAACAGAGCTGTGACCTCACTACACCTTATTTAGAGAGATGAAATCCCCCCCCTTCCTTGTCTCCCTCCCCCCTCTTCCTCACCCTTTATCCTTGGCGTGCACGTCGGCTCCGTGCTGCAGCAGGAACTGGACGACAGCCAGACGGTTGTAGCCGGCGGCGAAATGCAGCGGCGTCGACTGTCGACCCTCCACGTCCCTGCAATTCACATTCTGCACCGTACAGAGCTTCTGCAGCGGGCGAGAGACACAGACGGACAGGTGTGGACAGAGAGAGAGAGAGAGAGGGTGAGGCTATGATGCAGATGTAACTATGGAGGTTCTGTTTGGGACATTTCTACTTTGACAGTCTCAAGATCTAAAGTAATTCTGCTTTTATCACACGGGAGCCAGAGAAAAATCCTCCAGCTGGACACTTTGAAATTTCATGGAAAACATCTTAAACATTTTTATTTAATCTTAAATAAACTCAAAGTGTTGTTTTTTTTCTCAGAGTGTAAACGACCTTGACAGTTTCCAGATCTCCAGTTTTGGAGGCTTCCAGCAGCTGACGGTCGACCTCCGAGTTCCCGATGAGAACTCCCTCTGCTGAGAGGAACAAAGAAACAGAAAGAGAAAAAAAACAGCACATTAGAAAACTTAGAGAATTCATCTCTGATTTCTTTTTCATTAGAAAAGCTAAAAAGCATAGTTTCTTTTTTAAGCAATAAAACGTTCAATGTGGCTCCATAAGGAGCCTTTTCCCAGTTCACTGTGTCTGCACAGAGCCGACCAGTCAAATTCACCCACAGCAAACTGGGAAAACTTTCTCCATGGAGCTGGTTTGGCGCATGAGGTCATCGTCATGTTGCATGATGGGTAAATCAAACAGCACCTTGCAGTATCTCCTGCACGCTCTTGTTGCCCAGCTGTGAGGGAGAGAGGCCCTGCAGCGACGTGAGCAGCGGGTCACCGCCGGCGTTCAGCAGCAGCCTGCAGGTCTGCAGGTGTCCGCAGTGAGCGGCCCGGTGCAACGCCGTCTGACCCAGGTGATCCACCGCGTTCACCTGGAAGGAGGTGACATCACACTCAGTCATAATGCTGCAGCGCTACCTGACGTTCATACAATCGTTGAGCTCAGGTTTCTGACCTTGGCTTCGTGTTTGACCAACACCTCGATGACGTCGTTGTGGCCTTTCTCTGACGCCAGGTGGAGAGGAGTCAGCAGGCTGAGGGAGACACACACAGGGTCAGGCTTCATCACGTGGTTTTAGATATTTTTACTCTTTGGTTTCTGTTTCTTCTTCATCCTTGAACAGAGCTGAACCATCACACTCCTCCATACTCACTCCTTCGTTTTCTCGTTGACGTTGGCTCCTTTCCTCAGCAGAAGTTCACACACTTGTTTCCTCTTCGTGTACGGAGAGGCAGACACACAATGCTGAGGTGTGGACACACACACACACACACACAAACACCAGTGCTTATAATAAAATAGTAAAAGAGGCTATTTGTACGTTTTCTCTGCTGCTGAGCTGTTTGTCGCTTGACAAGAGCTGCAGCTATCATCGTATTTACAAGAGCAGAGTTTATAATACATCCTCTGAGCAGCTACGTCTTCAGGACAGACTGGAGGATACAGGAAGTAGCTATCAGAAAGTGACGAGACAGGTCGGGGCTAACTGGTTAGCATGCTATCTTCAGTGAAAGTGAATACAAACAAGAGTTAACATTGGTGTTTGTTTCAACTGTTGGTGGATAAAGGAATGAAGTTTGATGCTGATGCATCAAACAGCTGCTAATGCTAACGTTAGCTGTGTAGCAATATTAAAAACTTACAAATAGCTCCTTTAAATCTCTTTGAACGACTTGAAGAACTGACCTTTACTAGAGAACATTAGTTTTTTCTTTTAGATAATTATCATTATTACTTTATATTCTTTTTTATTGTATTACTTCATGTTCCATTTAAAGCCTTCTATGAGACTCAGTTACGAACAAAAATAATGAGTCTGTTGAGTCAATATGGATAATATGAAAACAATTTAGGACCAGTAAAGTAAATTAAATTGTAGGCATCCAAGGAGAAAAAAAAGAAAATTAAAGAAATTACAAAAAAAGTAGATACCTGATACATAAAATATCAAACACAGAAACCAAACCAATCCAAAAAACTAAAACAAAACAAACCTGCCTGATGCTCAAAACCCTTTCTAAACAAGGGGTTTTCTCAAGATAATATAATTATTAAGCTGTGTCTCACCAGGGCCGTCTCCTGAGTGAGCGGGTGTTTGAAGTTGATGGTCTCCAGGCTCAGATGCTTCTTGACTCGAACCGCGTCGGCCTCCCGGGCCGCCTGCAGCAGGCTGTGACCTCTGAACTCATCTGTCAATCATCAAAGTCACAGACCGGGGTCAGGCACAGACATGATAGGTAAGGATTTACTGTGCACAGCTCCATCTTAGAGTAGCTTTACAAACTGAGCCAGGATCAGTCTGTTTTACAAACTTGGAGCTGATGTGAATAAAACAGCAAACAGGACGTACAGGCGAGCCGCTCTTTCAGCTGAGAGGTCGGGGCGAGGTCAATGGAGCTTTTATTGTGACAGTTCAGGAAGGTGGGGTCAGCTCCGTAGCTCAGCAGGAGAGAACACACCTGAGCACAGACACACAGGTACAGTCAACAACAACAGAGTCCAGCGTCACACTCTAACACACAGGTCATGGGTTTGTGATATTAACTGTGCTGTGATTGACTGAGCTTGAATGACCAAACTGATCAGAGGTCAGACTGCTGCTGATTTTGTGAGGACATCTACGGTGAAGGGGTTGGACTTTACCTCCACTCGGTTCTTGGAAGCAGCTTCATGTAGAGGAGTGAACTGCCACAGGTCCATGGCGTTAACACAGGCTCCGTGCTGAACAGTCAGACAGAGGAGACGCGTCATTAGGTCGCAGTCAGGAGAACATGTGAGTGTAGCTCCCTCTAGTGGCCACTCTGAGTTACTGTGATTTGATTTGAGGTAAGTCCCTCTCCTGTTCATGTTAACATATTTTGAATGATCTAAACAAACATGTAGGAATCAGACGTGTGTCTGACATTTACGAGCCACACATTTTAACATGAAACATGACGCTGCCACGGCTTCTAATACACATGTAAACAATGTTAATCGCTTTTGTGAAACACGGCCTGCAGTGTTATCACCTTGTGTTTTCACTGTTTGTTTGTTTGTTTGTCTGCAGGATTACACAAAAAGTACTGAACCAGTACCAGGACCAGGACCAGGACCAGGGCCAGGACCAGGACCAGGACCAGGACCAGGGCCAGGGAAAAACCCAAAATTGTGCATCTGAACTTTTTCACTTTGCTTAACATTGTGAGACATGGCATTTTTCAGCATTTACATTAATTTATCAGGAAATAATGTCTAAAAACCATTTATCTCAGAGGGGTTTAAAGTCTTTACAAAAAACAACATATAAATGGAGGAGAAACAGAAATAACAAGAGTAAAATGACACTAAATAAAGTGCAAACATATATGAAGAATATGAAGAGACACAAACCTTCACCAGCAGCTCAGTGACCTCATAGTGACCGTATGAACAGGCGTTATGAAGAGGAACCAGGTCCCTGAAACACACACACACATACACACACACACTACTGTTAGTAGTTAGTAGCACTACTACTGCTGCCCCTAGTGTTTATGACTGGGTTCAGGGGTAAATCTGTAAATCTTTTTCAGATGTTAACACTTCCTACAGGCACACGACGTCAACACTTAAATAACACATCATCATCACAATGAATGGCTGTCTAATAAACAGACATTAGTAATGCTGTGTAAAGTAATAGACACCTCATACTTTATACTTCACACTGCCTATTTCATTTTTTTAAGCCCAGAAAACATTGTGGGGAGTTTGCAGGTAGAAACCTCCACCAATCAGAACGCAGCACAGTGTACCAGATGTAGCCTGAGAGGTGACACCCAGGGGGAAAAAATCCCACAATGCTGCTGCTCTTAAAGCTTAGTGCTGTGAGGACGTGGTGATAATTGAAAGTGAGTCAGATGAGCACATCAACATATTCATCAGCTGCTCTCTTCTCTCATTTACATTTTGGCAGCTGGACGAGGAGAAGACGACGACTGGTCAGACTGTTCATCAAACTCAAAGTGTAAAAAGTGAAAAGAAAATGATGGGACAAATATAAGATTGTGAGAAGTGAAATGGAAGCTCGATCACTCAGCAACTGAAAAAACACACACTCTCAGCGTCTCACCCCTTGTCCTTGGCGTGCACGTCAGCGCCGTGCTGCAGTAACAGCTGGACTGTCTTGACCCGGTTGTATCCGGCCGCCAGGTGCAAGGGCGTCGACTGAAAAACAACCCACTGATGATCAGAGTCAAGTCAGAGACAGGACACAGAAAAAGACTTGGTGTTCACTTCTGCCTGTGGAGGGGCTGGGGATCAAACCAGATGCTGACACCGGCCCAAATCTGGCCTGAGACCTGCAGACTGGAGCTGCATCTTCCAAACAAAAAGGCCCAGATTCCAAACACAGATCTGACAGAGTTTTGTCACCATTACTGCCTGAACTTACCTGAGGAAGGTGACTTTCATTAGCAGCTAATGCTAACAAAGTCAAACAATGTTTGAGTTTTCTGCTCCACCATGCAGCTTTTGTTTTCTGACATCTGCACATTTCTGAAATTAAAGTAGTTGCATGCCTAAAAAGGTGTAAATGTATGTAATGTTAATGTATTTACTGTACATGACAGCAGGACTGAGAAGACATGTGTTTTTTGCACACCAGTATGGGAGCTATTAGCAGCTGTGACAGTAACTGCAGGACCTGAACAGGCCAGAGCCGGATCACATCTAGTCCTCTGGAGCTACAGACCTGAGCTGGTCTGAATCCATCGGACACAGCAACAGAAGGAAACTCAGGTAAATCATTTCTCTGACTGTTAACAAGACCTTCCTACAGACGGTTTAAAAGCTGCATCATTAAGCTCAGATTCGTGACTTGTGCCTCCATTCAGCAAGTACATGCAAACGAACAGAGACAGGCATTTTAGAAAAGTCTTGAGCCAGATGTAAGTGAGTTTCCTTTGTGCTTAGTTTAAAGGTCAGAGGTCAGTGCTAAAGGTGGAAGGGGGAAAAACATACTGTAAAAACCTGCCGCTCACCTTTCGTCCATCACTGGCGTGACAGTTGACATTGAGCGGCGTCAGCAGAGCCATCAGCTTCTCCTCGTTCCCGCTCCTGCAGGGACATCAGCAACATGTCGGACCAACACAGTCTCTCACACTCTAACTGTTTGTTTCATCAGACAAACAAAGGTTCACTCAGTTCACTGTCAACGTACAACCTCTACTCAGAAAGTGAAGAAAAAGGAGAGCGAGGCTGTCGTGGTGTGTCTGCAGAGCAACAGTTTGATTCTGTAGATTTGATTACAAACAGTTATGGAGACTAAACGACTGTACCTGGCGCTCTCCAGAAGCTCATCTTTTCTGTATTCACCTGAAAAACAAAGAAAAACAGACTTTACTGTCAGTGTGCACATTGGTGAAATGACTCTTTCTTTAAGTTTGAACACATTTGTATAATTAACACTTTTTGAAACTGAACCAGGTTGAGCTCAAAGTCACACAAGGAGATAAACAGTTTTTTTTTTTTAAAAACAGATGAAACGACGAAACACAAAATGGAAACTTGTTGTTGTTGTTGTTGTTATGCTGTCAGTGAAGTTAAAATGACAAAAAAAAAAGGTTGGATGATGGGTTCCTGTGGGCAGAGTTTGAGGCATGGCTGACTGCTTTGTTGTGACATCACAAAGTTCCAGAAGTGCTTACGGCTGCTTTTAAGGCTCAGTTTCTGAATACAGGCTGTGTGCATTTCTCTGTGGACTGAGGCTTTGATACTTTCACAGTATTACTATATAACCTAGACCTGCTTTATAATCAAACAACACATGGGCAGAGACCTTTAGACTATATGGACCTTTAAGATGTAACGTCACCACAGATGCTCCTCACCTGTCAGCACTGCTTTGGTGGAGAGTTCTGCCAGATCCAGAGCAGTTCGACCGTCTGTGTTCCTGATGGTCGGCTCGGCTCCGTGCTGCAGCAACACTACACACACACACATACACACACACACACACACACCATCACATCTACATGTGGAGATACATACACTTCCTCCACTATTAGCATCTGTAGGTGTGTTTTGGTACCTATACACACGTCGATCTTGCCCTTGATGGCTGCCTCATGAAGCGGAGTGTAGTTCCAGTTGTCTCTGGCGTTTGCGTCCGCGCCATGATGAAGCAACAAACTCACCACCTGCACAGAAACAACACGACACAGTTCTATACAGGTCTTTAACATTTACAGGGTTAACAGCTGGTCAGAGGGTCGGGGTGGCGAGCTGTACCTCAGCGTGGCCGAAGGAGCAGGCGTTGTGGAGGGAAATCAGCCCTCCGTCGTCCCTGGCGTGGACATTGGCTCCGTTCTGGAGGAGGAAGTCCACCACGTCTTTACGACCAAAACCTGAGGAGCCAGAAAGACGGAGAGTCAGAAAACATTAGTGAGCTCTGGGGTTTATTATTCATATACTGTCTGGTCCCTCAGATGTCTTTGTGTTTCCTTTTGTTCCATCGCAATAAATTATTCAGTACATTTACAGTAAAGCAGACGCTGCAGCGGCTGACGTGGCTTCACAAGGATGAAGCCGTCTCAACTATAAAACCACTATCATCGAGGTGGAGACAGCAACCTTCAGGACTGTCGTGTATGTTTATTTAACTCAGAGGCATCCTAAGCTGGAAGCTGGTCTAGGTGGATTTGCTGTGGCAGAGTCAGTTTGTCTCCAGACCAGAAACCCTTCTACTGATTGAGCCTCAACAGGGAGTGAATCCAGGAGAGTGTTAAGTGTTTTCTTTGTTTGTGCTGGGGCAAGGAGAGAGAAGAAGAAAAGTTAAATCCCAAACAGGAATAAAAAAATGTGTAAGGAGTTAAAAACTCTTTGTTTCATGTGCACATGCAGATGGTTTGATGTTAATAACTTTTGTGGTGTTTCTGTTTCAGGTAATTTAATGTCATCCAGTACGAGGGTTGTCTCCCAGGCTCTCTCTCAGCAGCGCTCGTCTTCATCAGGCTCTAAGAAGGTCCACCCTCCCCTGGTGTTGGCTCCATGTCCTTGTGGACCTGATTAGGTGATGATCCCTCAAGACCGAGGTAGAGGAGGACTGCATGAATGTGGATGTTATTCATGCTTGAAATTTTCAACAACCCAAAACAGGAATACAACAAAAGTTTAACGTCAAACTTTCTGAATAATCACTCAAAGAGTTGAACTGCATGTGCATGAAATGGGAGCCGTCTGGCCTTGTGCATATCTTCCATCATACTACAGCTAATCAGCAGCACTACAGGATGTTTCACACTCAACACTCGACTCCTATAAAGCTGTGGAAGATGTCTTCATTAGATTACTGGGGAGGCTGAGACTAAAATCTGATTTCCTTGCTGGAAATCTGAATTCTGGAGGCCAGCAACAAAGAAAGAGCTGAACGTCGCTCCATGTCTCGTCTTTACCTTAAAACAATTGTGAAACAAATCCTTATAGCTCCTGTTAACAGACACATAAACATGTCCGAATGGAAAGATTCAAGTGATATTCGTTATGCTTCAACAAGACTTGGATGAATTTATTTGATGCTCTGATATCTTTCCAAAATGCTAAATAATTGTCAGTGCTGTGAGAGTGTGACACAAAGAGGAGGAAGTCGTCAGCATATAAAGAGAGTTTATCCACCAGCTCTGTTGATTCCAGTAGAGTCAGAGATCAGAGGCTTTTAATCTGGAATTTGTCAAATGTCCAAACAAGAGACAGTGAGACAGAGGAGAAGTTAAAGATTTTTTAGACATCAGCCTGAGTGTGTCTCACCTGCAGCGAAGTGCAGTGGCGTGGACTTCCTCCCCGCCGTGTCCCGACTGTTCACGTTCTCAGCCATCACCATTTTACGAACTCTCTCCAGGTCCCCGCTGCGACAGGCCTCAAACAGCTCCCTGCTGGCCTCTCCGGCCCCTGACCTGCCGCCGCCGCCACCACTACTGGGATCCACCGCCACCTCTGCCACCACGGGCCCCGGGGACACGGCTCCACCCCCGAGACCGGACACTCCTGAACACCTCCGGCCGGACAACATGGACGATGGCGAACGGCCTCGGCCCAGTTTCAGGCTGCTGGTTCTGGAGAGTTTGGAGTGAGAGCAGCAGGTGGCCGAACCCCAGAACCCTGCAGCCACTGAGGCCATGCAGGACAACCAGACCCGGTCTCAGAAGAGAGACAGGAACCTGTAAGGAACCAGAAGACAAAAGAAGAGAAGGATTATGGGGTTTTCTAAAATAAAGAAGAAACACTTTACATCTTTATTTATTTCTATTATTAACTTTCTATTTTTATGAATCTAATCTTCGTCATCTGGACTGTGTGGGTGAGGTTGGATCACATTGTGACATAACCTTCTTCTAGCTGAGCCCCACCAACTTCAACCCAGTGGGAGGAGTTTAGAGAAGCTATAGAGAATACCTTAAACAGACTGATTTTACAGAACTGTCTGATTTTTTATTTCACTTCCTTTTCTTCAAATAATAAAAGTCTTTATGGACTGAGTTACAAACTATAAATGACACAATAAGAAGGAAATTATTTGTTTAATATGAAAATTGTTGTCAATTAAATGTAGTGTCACAATAAGTCCTATATTTCCCTCTGAGATGTAGTGGAGGAGCTGCAAAGTAGCAAAAAAATTAAACTGAAGGACATCCAGACTGTATTTAACTACACTACTTGATTAAATGTCCTCACTCTCCACCACTGATCCTATAGAGATTACACAGATGAAAAACAACATAAGACACAATAAAATCAATACATATTGAAAAGATATAGGCTATAGAACCGAGGTTATGTAATAACACGCTATAGGTCACTATAGAAATATTACAGGAGTATGACAGGATTGAGATCAGATGTTATAAGTAGAACATGAATCTGTATAAGGTTTAAATCTAATGCAGCATTAGTCCTATTAATATTACTGCACACCAGAAATCATACAAAGACGACAAATACACTAAAATGCCTTTAGCATTATGAGACATTACAATAAATATTATCATTCAGCATTAAATAAGAGAATTGGGCCTAATAACAACAAAAAGCCTGGGAAACTCACTGTGGAGCAGCGCGGACCCTGTGGTTCCCTGCAGGGATATTACAGGAATATTACGGCTGTTTATTGGCCGTCGATGAAATAAATCATCCCTGGCTGGCAGGCAGACAGACTCCGGTCCTCCATCATCCTCCTCCACCGCTTCCAGCAGCCGGTTTTCAGGGGGGGGGGCGGCAGGTTGATCGGGATCCACAGACTCAGACGGCGAGAGAGAGAGAGAGAGATGTAATATAACGGACGTAAAAACGCGGATCTGACAGACAGAGATGAGATAAACCTGCCGACTGAGGGAGGAGGGACGACGTCCGAAACAGCCACCACCCGCCCCCCGAAAACAAGCACTGCGGATGGCTTCATTTGTTGACCTGGCTCCGCCCGAGCGGGTGGAGCTACTGTTCCTCTTCCTTCTTACAAAACGCAGGATGTAAAATGATTAATATGGTCTCATAGAAACAAACAGGTCCGTGATGTTTTATGGAGAAAATCTATATGTTATGAATTATTATAATATATAGGCCTATATAACTCATCTACTGATAAATGATGACATCTTTACTGGGCAGATAAAATAGAAATTATTTTGTTTTTTGTTTTATGACAAATGTAATTCATAAAATTACACACAGGAACAAATGAAAGGTACAAAACAAGCAAACAATGCTAAATATGATCAGATGTCCATTAAGGTGTTTTAGTCTTTGATTCATTATTATTGATATTTCGTTTATTTTACCAGCCAGTCCCATTGACTTTGATCGAAACTCTCTTTTACAAGAGAGACTTCATAACCATCATAAAGTCTAAAACTTCTTTCCTCTTCTCTCTGTTATATTGGGCTTCCCATTTCCTGTCAGCTCATGAATATAAAATATGAACTGCTACTTAAAATTAATTGATTTCTACATATCTATATCTTTAATCAACTTACTGTAAATGGATTAATCTTTGCTGTTGTAGTATCTTGATTCACTGTCTTTTTTTCTATAGGCTAAGTGGTTTTTATGCTTAAAAGTTTCATTCCACTCAACCAGAATCCCTCGTCCTCCTTTAATAGTATGGTGGTTTAGTGTCTCTGTGTTTAACTGAACTCTGTGACTTTCAGACAAGAAATATAAACAATCACTTCATACAGAGGTTCAGGCCCAGGGGTCCCCTGATTTCTCGGGGCCCCAGGGTCTGTACCCATCCATGGTTGAAGCCCTTACAAAGAGAAACACAATGAACACAACACACATCATCAATGAACCCTGTGTTTATTGGTCAGCAGATATCCAGATACTGCTGTGATTGGCTAACACATGCACAGACACACACACACGCACGCTCGCAGGCAGGCACGCAGGCAGGCACCCACACATGCACTGCTTTACAGTACAACAGGTAACAGCCACAGGCTTATACAGCATTAGATAATCATCATTATCATCATCAACCTTTAATTGAAGTCATGTCTTCTGGCTGATTTTAACTGTAAAGGTCCCTTAAGTAAAATCCATTGTGCTGGTGTTGAAGCTCCTCTCAACTGTGCACTGTAGGGACATAAATTTAGCGCTCTCCGGCCTCTGCGCTCTGTGCAGGGAGCGCTGTGCTGAGCCTGCGCAAGGTTGTGTGTGTGTGTGTGTGTGTGTGTGTATGTGTGTGTGTAATTTACCTGAGTTTTTCTACTTTTACAGCGTTTGTAGTTTCCTTCACCACCTTGCAGAGGATTTCACCTTATAACTTTTTACACTACCTTTACCTGACACCTGCTGTTATTGAAAAATATTTTATTTCCTGTTTCCTAGTAATGGTTTTATTCAATAAATTGTGAAAACTGCATTGATGGATATGATATTCTCCCAAAATCTGAGGCGTTAAATTGTAATTATCCTTAATCCTTAATCAATCAACAGAAAAGTTTGATTATTGATTAATTGTGTAAGTAATTTATTAAGGAAAAATCAAATCTCAAATGGGAGGAGTTAATGTTTTTCTTTGTCATTATGATTGTGTGTTTTAAGGGTTTAGGACCGTTAGTCAAATATAAGAGGACATTTAATTACAAAAACAAATAAATAAAAAATTAAGGACTAATGTGAATAAAAACTGTTGTCCAACATTAGATAACTCATAGAAATATGAGCCTTGGTGTTTCACTGAACTGATTCTGGGCAACAATTTCCGCTGTGTAATTAGTAGGGATGTAACGATGCATCGCGAGACAGTTAAAAATCGATACAAATGTGTGACGATTCAAATCGGCTGAGATGAAAAATGAATCGCGATGCCCTTTATAAACTGCAGAGAGCGTAATCTACTTTTGATTTATAACAAATAGACATTACAATAAATATTATCATTCAGCATTAAATAAGAGAATTGGGCCTAATAACAACAAAAAAGCCTGGGAAACTCACTGTAGCAGCGCGGACCCTGTGGTTCCTGCAGGGATATTACAGGATATTACGGCTGTTTATTGGCCGTCGATGAAATAAATCATCCCTGGCTGGCAGGCAGACAGACTCCGGTCTCCATCATCCTCCTCCACCGCTTCCAGCAGCCGGTTTTCGGAGGGGGGGGGGGGGGGCGGCAGGTTGATCGGGATCCACAGACTCAGACGGCAGAGAGAGAGAGAGAGATGTAATATAACGGACGTAAAAACGCGGATCTGACAGACAGAGATGAGATAAACCTGCCGACTGAGGGAGGAGGGACGACGTCCGAAACAGCCACCACCCGCCCCCCGAAACAGCACTGCGGATGGCTTCATTTGTTGACTGGCTCCGCCCGAGCGGGTGGAGCTACTGTTCCTCTTCCTTCTTACAAAACGCAGGATGTAAAATGATTAATATGGTTTCATAGAAACAAACAGGTCCGTGATGTTTTATGGAGGAAAATCTATATGTTATGAATTATTATAATATTATAGGCCTATATAACTCATCTACTGATAAATGATGACATCTTTACTGGGCAGATAAAATAGATAAGAAATAGATTTCGTTTATTTTACCAGCCAGTCCCATTGACTTTGATCGAAAATCTCTTTTACAAGAGAGACTTCATAACCATCATAAAGTCTAAACTTCTTTCCTCTTCTCTGTTTACATTGGGCTTCCATTTCCTGTCAGCTCATGAAATATAAATAATGAACTGCTACTTAAAATTAATTGATTTCTACATATCTATATCTTTAATCAACTTACTTGTAAATGGATTAATCTTTGCTGTTGTAGTATCTTGATTCACTGTCTTTTTTTCTATAGGCTAAGTGGTTTTTATGCTTAAAAGTTTCATTCCACTCAACCAGAATCCCTCGTCCTCCTTTAATAGTATGGTGGTTTAGTGTCTCTGTGTTTAACTGAACTCTGTGACTTTCAGACAAGAAATATAAACAATCACTTCATACAGAGGTTCAGGCCCAGGGGTCCCCTGATTTCTCGGGGCCCAGGGTCTGTACCCATCCATGGTTGAAGCCCTTACAAAGAGAAACACAATGAACACAACACAACTCATCAATGAACCCTGTGTTTATTGGTCAGCAGATATCCAGATACTGCTGTGATTGGCTAACACATGCACAGACACACACACACGCACGCTCGCAGGCAGGCACGCAGGCAGGCACCCACACATGCACTGCTTACAGTACAAACAGGTAACAGCCACAGGCTTATACAGCATTAGATAATCATCATTATCATCATCAACCTTTAATTGAAGTCATGTCTTCTGGCTGATTTTAACTGTAAAGGTCCCTTAAGTAAAATCCATTGTGCTGGTGTTGAAGCTCCTCTCAACTGTGCACTGTAGGACATAAATTAGCGCTCTCCGGCCTCTGCGCTCTGTGCAGGGAGCGCTGTGCTGAGCCTGCGCAAGGTTGTGTGTTGGTGTTGTGTTGTGTGTATGTGTGGTGTGTAATTTACCTGAGTTTTTCTACTTTTACAGCGTTTGTAGTTTCCTTCACCACCTTGCAGAGGATTTCACCTTATAACTTTTTACACTACCTTTACCTGACACCTGCTGTTTATTGAAAAATATTTTATTTCCTGTTTCCTAGTAATGGTTTTATTCAATAAATTGTGAAAAACTGCATTGATGGATATGATATTCTCCAAAAATCTGAGGCGTTAAATTGTAATTATCCTTAATCCTTAATCAATCAACAGAAAAGTTTGATTATTGATTCATTGTGTAAGTAATTTATTAAGGAAAAATCAAATCTCAAATGGGAGGAGTTAATGTTTTTCTTTGTCATTATGATTGTGTGTTTTAAGGGTTTAGGACCGTTAGTCAAATATAAAGAGACATTTAATTACAAAAACA